GATAACCTGCCATAATCGGTCAAAAATCGATCCACCAGGCCTGTTCCTTAATTTATATCCGATAACCTGCCATTTCTGATATCCGATAGTCCAAATGCATTAGGTTCCCGATTCATCGGAGGCGATCACATGATTAATGACCAATCAGAATTTGAATTTAAAGAAGCAAAAAATCAGGTGATCAAGAAAGTGAAAGAGAACAGCATACACAGTTCATATTTAACAGTTAAGTACAAGCATGATTTACGTTATGCTGATTTTATTAATCAGTAAAAAAAAACTTATCGTTTAAATGGCTTTTTTTTTATGCCAATAGCCATTAAGTTTTGCCAGTATAACTTTCACTTTTTATTTTATTTTTTGTAAATTTTTCAAGTAAAATTTCTCAAAAATTCTTTTCGTTTAGTAAAGAGAAAAAAAAAACCAATAATACTGAAATCCATTTTTCAAGCTTGGAAATATTGTTCTAGTTTTTGTTGGACTTGCTTTCTGACTTTCTCTTTTCGAATCTCCTCACGGATACAGGTTTGTAGCTTGCGTAATGTCTTCATTGTTACTCCACCATCATCGATTCTCTCATCAACAATCCTTAGGGCACTACGTAAAATAATCAATTGCTCTTCTCCGGTTAGGGGCAGCACAACAAATTCATCTTCTACCTGTTCTATTTCCGTAGCTGTCTGAATCAGATCTTCATCAGTAAACAGGTGGTGAACTTCTAGTTCCTCATCAAGGTTTAGCAAGTCCTCAATTGGCATTGGATTATGGAGATTCAATAGATCTATTTGCTGTTGGAGTTCTTTAGCTGCTTGTTGATCATTCGAATCAAGAGGTAGGCTTTCTTCTACATTATTAATGCTTTCAACAGCAATGGAAGGGATGACAGGTATTCCATTTTCATCACGGGGGGATACAATTTTTGTACAGAACCAACATCTTCTGATCGTTTCAGCTGATACTTCACTCCAAGCGATCTTAATCCATTTCATAGCCTGCAAACAATAGTGCGTTAGTATAAATATTTTTTCAATCTATTAGTTGGTCTTTGGTTAGTTGCGATTAGTGTTGCTTGCTGCAAATATGAATTGCAACTTATTGCCGCAATAGAATGTACCATCTTAATCTAACAAATAATGACTTATTTTGTAGTTGTGACTTTGCAGAAGCAACTCTAGTTGCAACTAGATTTAATTTTTTTTTTTTGATTTAGGTTCTCAAGTAGCTTCCTTGATGATATTTGCTAATGATCAAGATACTGCACAATCATTTCGATTAATCGAAATTAATTGTACTGGAAATTCATTATGTGAATTTTAAAGTTAGTCAATCAGTATAACTCTACGAAAAAAAAAGATGGTTGTTAGATTCTCGATCGAAATGATTAACACATTCCATTTTTTTAGCCAGACAGATCATCTTGTTAATTACAGAGAGAGTTGCTTGAGAACAACCTTAACCAAACAGATTATTATTTGACCTTTTTTTTTTTGTCTAACCCACTGATGTCGAGTATCATGGGATGTCAAATGACATTTCATGGGCTATCTATTTTTGATTTGCATCACTACCTGCAATTGATCTATTTTATAGATATCTTTTTCCCCAGCTTCATCACGGTCAATTGCCTGTTGAAGTTGGATATGACGATAATAAAGTTTGAACGATGCAATAATACCAGCATCCATTGGTTGTATTTTGGATGTTGTATATGGAGGTAACGTGAGTACTTTTACATTAGTCAAGGTGAAGGCACTAGTAACATGTGAGGGAGCACCATCAAGGATAAGTAAAATGTGACGGTTTAATTTTTTCATTTCTTTGTTCAACTTTTCTATCCATTCTTGAAAAAAAATAGCCGTCATCCATGCTTTTTTATTGTTACGATAATAGAACCCGAGCTCTTCACCTGTTTTTTTTTTGAAACACCTAGGTCTTGCAGAATGCCAATAATAAAAGGTTGAAGTTTGTGGGTGCCATCTGCATTGGCTGTAAATGCAATTGTGAGTCTCGTACAATCTTTTTTTGACCCTTCAATCTGGCGAGACGCAATTGTACGGTCAGGAGCCATAGCATAGAATAGACCAGTCTCGTCCATGTTGTAAATATCACAAGGGGAATATTGACTAGTTGTGCTAATAATATCGGGAAGTTTTAGGTTTATGGCAGCAACATCAGCGGAACCACTCTCGCTATGCAACTTAAAATAATGAAAATTGTGTCTTTCTTGAAACGCCTGCAGCCACCCGTTTGAAAATTCAGGCTGATCTCTTTCAGGAATCTTTATTAGAAAGAGGTAAGTTAATAGAAATTAAGTAAATTTTGTTTATTAAGTTTTTTTAAACCTTTAAACTAAAATTAACAAAAATTTAATCAAATTTAATTATTAAATACGATTAAATTTTTGTTAGTTATTTGTATTCAAAACTTTAAAAAAATTTTATTATAAAAATTTGCTTGATTTCTATCGACTCACCTCCATTAAATCTGCTAGCCTTTTACCCTTCGCTTTAATCATGTCTCCATTCAAACGCACAGCCCGATGTTCACACTGTAGTACCCAGTTCGCCAAAGCTGTATCTAGCTCGGGGAACATAACGATACGACGCTTTTTAATTCCAAGGTCAGTTGATGACATTTTGTTGAACTCATCTTTTCTCCTTAAAATATCAGAAATTGTACTTTGGCCAGGGGCTTTGGCTAGCTTGAATTCACTTTTTGCCCACTCCACGAGTTCCTTCTGAGTAATCTCTGGATTTTCTTAGTAATGGTCACATATCATTTTCCTTTGGTCATTACGCAAGTTTCCAGCTAAAATGACTTTATCTTTTTTTTTCCCCATTATATTAGGGCGAAAGTTGAAAATACAAAAAATTTTTGTGGCTGGGTACAGGATTTTTAAAACGAGAGTATTATTAACTCAATATTCTTTTTTTTATGATTAACCTTTTATTTTATTTGTTTTTTTTTATTTTGTTTTATTTTAATTTTTTATTTTATTTGATGGCGATTTTTATTTGAATTTACCACCATTGAGATTACATTAGTATGGTATAGATGATGCAAAATACCCTATTTTAAAACCCGTATTATACTGATCCGGTGTTTTATATTGCAGTAAACAGCCATATAAAAAATCATCCTAAATAATAGACATATCAGGTACTAGACCCGGGTGCAGTTCTCAAGATCTTTGATTGAAATGTAATTCTTTTCGAATATTTAGATTGCATGTTATAAATGCAAAGCGGCATATGTATTCCAAATTTTACTTTCTATGATACAAGCCCTTAGCCGTGTACTATACCCGGGTCTTTTATATGGCCGTTTACAGCATTTGGGTTGGAAATTCTTGCGGATTTGTATGACATGGTTTTTAAATAAGCATTTAAACCCGTCATACAATTCTGATCATTCTTTTTTTTGTGTATGTTTGAGAGTATTTCATTCATGAAGCATTTAGTCTCATCATTCTTTCTCGTGAATTCTAAGCTAATTTAAAATTTAATTGACATTTTTGAGAATGTAAACACATTCTGATTCAGAACTCCGCCTAATTTGGTTCTACCGAACCTGATTGGCATTCGAAGATAGATAAAAAAAAAACAAACATATTGGGGCATTGCAGTAGAAAGAGCCTAAATGCTATATATATTATATAACATTTAGGCCCTTTCCACTACAACGCCCCTAAATTCATTGTTGGTAACTGGTTTTAAGTTTTATTAGGTAGAACCCATACCATGGATACCAATTAAAAAAATGTAATGTAACGATAAATGTGAGAAACTTTTAATAAAGTAGCGATTGTTGAACTTAAACTTTGAACAGCATATATGCACATATTTAATTATAGTATATACTTACCATGGTTCTTGATTTTATATTTTTTGCCGAATCTGTAATTTGATTGGTAGATAAGTAATCGTTCATCACGTGACTTTTTTCAAATCCGATAACCTCCCAAACCCGATACGTAACCTGT